CTTGTCTGCGCTGCAATTATCTCACATCGTTTTTATAACATCTGAATATTTATGCAAGACATTCTTATGAAACGCAGTGTGTAACGCCACAAGCAAATTGGACTCCATATTTGTAGAGGCGGATTGTTACACGTGTACGACATTACACGCAAAGCCAGACTTCCTATTTGCCGAGGCGGACGGCTACTTCGATCTCTAAAGCGGCGTATCTGTAACTACCGGCTCTACGATTACATTTTGCCTGCGAGCGATACTTCTCCGAGATACACCCGCGCGCGCGTGTGTAACTCCTGATTAGTATCGCGCGCGGTATCGATCTTACGTTACGCCGAAGGAGGTAATCTATGCACACAAACTTATTGCTTGCTTCCTCGAATTTCTATTAAAGGCGTGAACAAGAAAAAAGCAGACATTTGTAGCTGCAGTATATTTTATCGAACCGTTTAACCATTTGATTTAATACTTAATTAATGATCACGAAGAATCTGATATATACGTTTCAACACGACTATTTTAGTGCGCAATTTAATGGAACAAGCGTAATGATATTTTATATTTCCCAAGAATAATTTATAAGTCAAACTAAGATGACTTATACACGAAATATCTATAACGGCTCTTTTGCTCTACGATAAATTTCACATTTCAGAGACGCTATTTTGGTTAATGCACGTAATATCTTATTATGTGATCGAATGAGACGCGCGTGTTTTACTCGACAAACTGGAACAGGATGAAATTTAGTTTCCTTTCAGAACTCCATCAGCAGGCTTTTAGTACGCTTTTCACCAAATCAATCCGCCGTGACGTGGCTCTCCGATAAAGGATGACTTTATCTCGTGATCGTTAATTGCTTAATTTCGAACTTTATATCAAATTTGTTTTACTCGACTGATTAAAAACTTGATAACGAAATCTATAGTAAATAAATTCCGTGTATATACGTTATTTTTTTGCGTGCGCGTGAGATTCGATTTTGTGGATTGACGAGTAATTCCGCCGAGAATGTCTTTCCTTTTCCGAGCCTTTCAGATTAATTTTTTTATATCAAGAATTTAAAGTAATGCAAATACGTTGTACCTTGCTGCTATTAATGTCTTATTTTGTATGCTAAAGAAGAAGCATACATTCAATAATTTTAATTAAGGTTGACGTTCCATAACGTTGCTAATGTAGAAGAAAGCTGAACTTATTCTTATGATATTAATAATAATTCTGCTCTAAATATTGGAACTCGACGATATTTTCGCAAAATTGAATTTCCTAAGGTAAAAGCTTTCTCGCATATTGTGATTATTTTTTCATAAAAAATATTTAAAGAAACTAACACAGAAGATCCTTGAACTGAAATTGATACATCATCAAAATTTATAAATCTATAAGATGTCAAATTACTTTCGATTTATTTTTTTCTGAGAGAAGCAAAGTTAATTTATTCTCATTTATCATGTATGATGTATGTTATCACCATAGCAGTAATAGATTTAATAAATAATTTTCTATGTCAAGGGATTGCCGATTGGAACCTAATACAAACTAAAGAGCAGAGAGAAAATATACCAGATGTTACTTCTGGTCACGCGAGAAAGTTCAGCAAAATATTTGTCCCTTGGGACTTGCAGAAATTAAGCTTTCCCAAGTATCATCGCTCGTCACGGATCCCCTCGTATGATGCACGACACGCTATGATATCCATTTAATGTGCCCGGATATGCTTTTCGAAGTAAATTGCACTAAATTATCGGCGACGCCATTAAACGTTGCGCGAATATCTCCATGCTCGTCGCTTCGTCATCTAAATGCGACATTTAATTATTATCACGCGTCAGTTGCATCGCGCATAATTTAGAAGAAGAATCCAACGCGCGTTCGACCCCTCTTCTCTAACCGCAATCAATTACTCCTAGAATATTAACCATAATTTCGATATATTAACAGACGAGAAATTAAAATTATATTTCAAAATGTATTGCGTTGAAAGTTTTTGATCAATTTTATAACAGTGTTAATTTTGTACATTTTACTTGTGAAGCAAATATTAATTTTAAATTAATCGTAATGCGTGGATTCAAGTTGCGTTGCGGCAGTTTAATTCTGATATATATTACATATAGAACGATTTACCGTACTGTAATTTATTGCCATCTTTTGTACCGGCAACACGAAATGTAATTACAAAATTTGTAAGAATGCACTCTACAGTATACGTACAATTACTATTTTATAAATTACGAGCGAGCGCGATTCCAAAGGGAAGGACGCACTCGAAGAAAATGAATTGGAAACGAATAGCAACATCGAGGAAAGCAATTCGCACGCTCTTGCGCGTCGACTTTGATGCGGATTTAATTAATCTACGCCCGAAGCTTAGTCCGTGCGCGCGCAGCGTCAAACGAGCTTAACACACAAGAGGGACAGGAGGAGAGGAGCTTTCACGAGGCGTTTTCCATGCGAAAATCCTACAGTGATATCTCCTCAGCGTTCCCTTTCCATTTCGACTCTCGCAAGGCTGTCTCTGGAAAGAAAAAAAAAAAAAAAGAGAAGAAACAAAATCAAAAAGAGGAGCGGGAAACCGGGAAGCGAAATGCCGCGGCGTTAAAAATAAAAGAGCGAGGAGAGCGCGCGCCAAAATGGAGAGGAAAAAAAAAGAAGAGGGAGAGACGCGTCGGGCACGTCGATTGATTGGCACGCTGACGTGCGTGGCCACGATGGATGACGCTTTATTTTCCACGGTACACCCCGATTATGGATTGAAAAGCGGCCATAAATCCTCGTGAATACTTTACAGGTACGTTCCGGCAGGTGGAACGGCAGGTGAGGGAGGGAGAAAATTTCATCGCGCGGCGTTTCGCTACCGCGAGAAGAGATAGAGGAAGATGGGAAGGGAGGGTGGGCGAGAGGGCAGAGGGTCGACCGGATGAAGAAGGGAAAGAGGGGTGAAAGGCTGGCTCGCCGGGGCAGGCGCATCGAGGTGTTGGCGTAGGATGTTACGGTGGATGCTCCAAAATTGAATTTGCCAGAACGCGGGGCGTTTGATTAAGTGCTTTCGTCAGGTACCCGGTCGTATCATGCCCGATAACGTTGTCGTTCTCGATTTGCGCCGATTCTCGATTTTTGATCGCGCGAATCCGTCTGGTGTTTCGCGCTTCGACGTCGCGTCGGCCGCAGTAGCGAAAAACCGATTCGCTTAATCGCACCTTGCAATTTTCCTTAATGCGGGATTTCCTTTAACGCGGCGCGAAAAGACTTCCGGCTGTTTCGGGGATTTTTTGCCGGGGAACACACACGACGCTTATTGCGATGTAATACCGCAGTAACCCCGATTAAGCCCCGATAAGCAAAGTAAAGCTGCAAGCACAATGTAGAGCGCAATATAGAAATTTTTTTGCGAATGAACAGACAATTCTATATTACCAGTTAGATCGAATCGATACTCATTTAATTGTATATATACGCGTTTAACGGCAGACAATGCCGACAATGAGAGACTGCGCAAAACGCGAGAGTGCATTTTATTTTAAACACTTTTTTTCCGCGGCTCGAATCGGTTCTAGGATCAAACTCGTAAAAAAAGTGTCGGAACTACGAACCGCAAAATCCACGTTGAATATTTCACGGGTCAGTAGATATATATCTTTTTCTGGTGAATCGCGCGACGCGATTCAAGCGATGTTGCGAGAGAAAAAGGCGGACGCGTCGTCAGAGTGGCTGTATATTGCTCCCGTGCACGTATCGCCGATAAACGCGACTCGTGTCGAGTAAAGTCGCCGGCGAGTCCTCACCCGACGTATCGAGTAATAATATTCGCGTTAAAGTCGTGAACTCGGCGTATTGGAGATGACTTCAAAAGCACTTTTCACATTACGAGAATTCACAAGGCATCATATCTTCACTTTAATAGAATTTTTATTTAACATTTAGTTACATGGGATATGTAATATCAAAGGTGGAACTTGTAGCGAATGATGATCTCCCTTCACTCTTTTACCTAGAAAAAATTTATTTCAAACTATGAATCTATTACTACAATTAAGGTCACGGGCTTGGGTTATCCTATATACTTGCGGAAAATTAGCTTGGATCAGCAAACAAAAGCCAAAGCGCGGTACCTGAGGCCGCATAATTTACGAAAAAAGCTAAAGGCAGTGAGGCAAAGTGGAGAGAGAGTGGATGGAGAAGCGAAATGGGGAGAAACGAGTGGGCGTAGAAGAGGGAAGAAGAAAGGCAGGAAAGCGAGTACCCATAACCTCGTTGATAAAACGCCGGATACGTTCGACGTATGCACGTAACTTCCAAAATAATGAAAAAAGCAAGAGAAATATCCTGGCCGGTTTATCCGACTCCGCTTCGATTTCGCGAGAGCGAATATTCCGCGAAAAATATCGCCGTGCTTAATCCGCGAACGATCATAGCTACATGCCAGCCCGATACTGCATACATATCCTATGCGAGCTACCAGCCGAATTTGTTCCAAATACAGAACGGCAAAAAAGAAAGCCGGTGACGGCTACATGCATAACTTAAGTGACATAAATATCCCCGATTCGATGTCCAAGCGCTTGCCGCTTTCGTGAAATTCTAATGGAATGTACATGCATGATATGTGAAAACAATCACGCGAAAACCATTTGAATAGCACGAAAAAATCAGTTAAACTGCCAAAAACAACGGCTTTAAAAAAATTAAATTTAAGTCTCATACATGAAAGCGTTTCATTCATTCAATATCTTTAACAATGTGTTTCTCTATCTTGTAATTCTTTTATACGAAACTATTTATATTTTTTTTCTTTACAGTACTGCAAATTTTATTATTTTTAATGATTATTATTTGGTCGTTGAAAAGATAATAACAATCAAATGGAATGTTTCATATTGCCGTGCCTTCACAAAAGTAAAATTAACCCAGAAAATGAAAGAACATGGTTGATTTTTTATTTTTGTGAAACTTTTTTCTAGTTTTTGAAGTAATACTCACACACGTTTTTCTTCTCATTGCAGTTCCACCGGAGCAGCCGACTATTTTGGATCGATGGGGCCGCATCTTGAATGGCACAGCTGGCCCTTATGAGGAAGGCGATACGCCGTACCTCACATGTCGCGTCACCGGCGGTAAGCTAATTTGAAATACACCAATAAAATACGTATATACGTTGAGAAACGTTTATCCATCTTCGCTAACCGCGCCTAATGCATCTACATTCGGCATGCGATTTTTTATCTTCTCAACCAATTTAGATTCTCCCATAATTTCTTCTCGTACAGCAATAAAGTATTTTTCTCCAAACGGACTATCATCTGTCATAGGTCGTTTAAAAATCGTGATATTAACATTTACAAAGAGTTCTACGAAACTTAAGATATTCTTTCTACCTACTTTCTATAAAAGTACGCGGTATCTTGCATGATTAACGTTTGACATACATGCCGAGAGAGATAATGCACGCTTCCGCGGGAACCAGGAATAAATCAGCGAGTTTCCATCTCTTCGCGCGCCGACATCGTCCGGGAATAAAATTCCTTCCCGTTTTCCATCCCGAAAAACTTGGAGACGAAGTAAGATTCTCCTCCGTTCCCGTCGAATCTCTCTTCATCCGTACGTCACACGCGGCGCATTTTTGAAAGTCGTCGCTCGCGGCAACCTCACCGCGAAATCGTTGGGAAACTTCGATCGCGGTCGGAGTCGCTGGTGTCGCCAGTTATTAGATCAGCCAACTTTTTATCGGCGACCGTGGGCTAAGTGAAAAGTTCAGTGAAACGCGCGGGGGAGTGTACGGTCGCTCTCTATCTTCGCGCAGAGAGAGAAAGAGGAAGAGTCCGGGGGTTAGCCAAGGCTGTGTGCGGTGGATCAAGCGTTGAGGAGGGTGGCAGGGGGGTGGAGGGGGAAGGGAAGCACCTCTCGAGTAGCGCTCCCCGCTGTTTACTTTAGCAACTGGATCTAAATTTCTGTTTATAACTGTGGCAACTTCTTCGGCCGCCTTAAAAGATTATTTCCAGCCCCTCCCGCCGCGGGGCTTCAAACCTGTGCACCGCGTATCCTCGAATGCCATCGTTCTGTCTACGAAAGCGTCACTCCGTCTACGGAGGCGTCCTTCGAGCTTTCGTCGTGATTAAGCATCGCTCCCCGCTCGTCGTCGTCGTCGTCGTCGTCGTCGTCGTCGTCGTCGTCTTCAAGCCGGAATGCGGCCGCGGATAAAACGTCGTTGAAGATCTTAAGTCGTCGCGACAAAATTCGGCGAGCTCGAGTCACGCCGCGAGTGCAGTCGCATCCGTTATTTGAATATTCATTGCCGCCGTCGTGATTCTCTCATCGTTATTTAATTGTCGCAAGTCAAACGCGATTCTCACAGATGAACGCAGATTCCCAAAAATGTGGCGCTTAATAATTTGGATTTGCGTTAATGAATTGCAATCAACAACTTTTATTAATTTTCATACGGTTGCCGAAAGGACTCCGCTGAGCAATCATATTTGCATCAGTGTTACAATTATTTCCAACAAATTACCCCGCTAAATTACTTCCTTCGATTACTTCCAATACGCTTGTTGCAGCTTGACTCTCGGCGGCGATGTCGAGAAATTTATTTGTTTCCACGGAATGTGCACAAATATGTCGAACCAATGTAATCTGTCAACGACAAATTCCTATCGAAACGTCCGTCCATCGGTGAGCAGCGTTATATATCACGACATATTGTACGCCTTTCTCGTTCGCGAAAAGCGAAGCGGAAAAAAAGGAAGAGGAGAGAAAGATATTGGGAGCTTCGTTACCGCGCGAGGAGATGAATCCCGTTGTTAGAATCGTTCCCCGTCCTCGAGCGCAATCATATTAGTCATCGTTGCCAAATACAGGCGACGAATAACGGGCCGATTCGACGCCCTTGTTCATCGGCGAGTCCCGCCGATGGATATACCGAAATATACGAAGCCCGGGAATATTGCCATATGCAGATTCGATGGGAATTGCATTCACGCTGCGCATCGATCAAACGCACCGCCGCGTATAAATTGAATATCGAGAAGAGATCGGCTTATCCTTAACAATACGGCAGCGCGGCGTCGCGCTGCCGAAGATCCCACCCCGCCCGCTGACGAATCCGGCGTTTTAATTTAATTGTAAATAACGCTTACGAAGGTGGAAGTCGATCTCTCGCGATCGGATATACCGCGCCGCGCGAAACGAATGAAAAATCTTTTTTTCTCCCCTTCCGCGTTTTTTAATCGTTCGAAAAACTCGCAGCAGATTTTTCGACTCCATATACCGTCGCGACGTAGAAGTATTGTAAGAGCATTAACTGTCAACGCTCGGTGCAATCTTTTGCCAGCCAGCGAAGTGCGACGGTGTGATGTTTTTATTTAGAATTAAAACGCTCGCTTGTTAAAACGATCGGACGGATCGATCTCGATTGTAAGCGACGGGCTGACACGTGACATCCCGCTCCGCGGGGACCTACTTCGCGCGAACGAACGTGCGTAATTCGCGTAGTTATCGGAACGCCGAAAACAGATATACGTGCGCTTACGTATGAGAACGCAAATGACGCGTTCGAGCTGTGCATTATCGAATTTTCGTGAGTTACATTTCTGGCGTAGTCGCGCTCGCTCGCGGCGCTTACTAGCCGCTTCCGCCGCTCGTTATCTTTACACGCGTTTTATCCGAGTTGGGGAAGCTGCGCTGGAAAATTGTCGGAAATTCATACGGCTTGCGCGCGGGATACGCCCCGGACAGTCTAATCTTCATAAAGTGAATGCAACCGCCGACGCACGCCGCTGACTGCGACGCGAGATCTGAAAATGGGAGCCGCGATCCGCCGTGTAATTCCTCTCGTCGTGTCTTGTAAAAACAACGCCATGTGCCGCGTAATTAAGCGGCGCGCGATGTCGACGTTGATGTAATAAAAATGGGAATTTAATATCGCACTCATCATTTTCGAGTTTGCCGCTGCGGCAAACCATCTAAAACGAGATCGATCGGTAATGCTGCCGCGTACATAAATAAGTTTTCAAATGAGTCGCGCGAATATTTACACGCGGATGAGTGTCTGTCATCAGAAAGATATTAACAATCACAACATCGTCTCGTTTAATTTATACGCAAATTGATGGCAAACACAAGTGGCTTCGAGAAGATCGGTGTTCGTCATAATCTATTTCTTCATATCGCGCGAACAATGTCAGAAAAAGATGCGTAACGCAATTGTACATCAATCATGAAGAGAATTTGATAAAATAATTCTATATTCGTGAGATTTCGCATTGCAAAATATTAGTCTGTAATATTTAAGACGCAGAGTTTTTTTGAACAAGTGATATTGTGTGATGTATCGCCATTTCTTCACCTCTTCATCACAACATGGCATATGCAAAGTTTTACTGCGTGGAAAGGTGCGTCGAATTTTTTGATAAACAGTGTATATTTCCCGGAAACACTCTTACACGCGATTCACACAAAAAAGTCTAACCCTCTCCGTGGTGTCTGTGTTATCTATAATTTATGACAATGCCGGTGAGAAAATTTTACGACTCGCTCTGCGCGCAGAATTTATTGCCAATTACTTGACTTCGTGCCCGGAAAGAATCGAGGGTCCTTCCACGAGGATGTATACGCAACCGTTAAAGAAGTGCTTCGCTCTTCGCCGTCGTTTCGCGGACGGACGCGGGAAAAATTCGTCCCTCTTTCGTCCCCTCTCGTCTCTTCCGCATAAATTCTAATATCGCGGGTGATTACCGAAGACGACGGTCCTTACATTTAAGCATGCAGGCGTCTCACCAGCGTTCTGAGATACCGGTTGCACCGTGGCGTCGTTCATCGAAAATGAAGAAACGATTGTCGTGACGACAGAGGAATGCGATGTCTCGAAGATTCTCGCACGATTCTATAACAGGCGCGACCCTCTCTCCCTCGTTATCCGCTCATCCCGTGGGAAACGCGAGCCGAGGAAAAATAATTTCTCCATCGACGAGACTCGCGGGAGAAACAGCTCTCTCGGATATGATGTTCCTCCGGAGCATCTCCGTTAATCTCCCGGCAAAGTCACGACAAGCGCGTGACAAAAATCGCGATATCGTATTTGATTTCCGATTCGGGGGATCGCCGCTCTAAAACCGACGTGTACAATTAAATGCAAATTCTGCGCCGTCGAATATGCAATTCTCCGCGTGTCTAACAAGAATATTAATATCGGCGCGATCGTATTTTTTCATATTTTTTTTTTTTCGTAATATTCATAATGGTGTTTTGCGTTTTAACTCGCGCTGCACGTCGATGTTATTTAATCTCATTCGAACGTAATCGCATGATATTCCGGAAGTGGCAGTTGGTTCGCATTTCGTGATAATAATTGCAAATAGTTGCCCGGCCGCTCGAGAATTTTTTTCTATCTGCTAACTGGACGCGATGATTGCTCGTCGATTTCCAGCTATCGTAACAATAAACCCAGTAGCGAATCATTTTATTCCGATATAATTCTCGCTTGCGCGTGTGTATTTTTCTCGCCTTCTCTACATTTTTTCGACTATATAACTACGGAGCACTCTCCCTATTTCCCTGGAGCGTACGTGGGTGCTCACTGCCCCGTTTATCGGCCACGCGTTATGTGTGTGTGTGTGTGTGTGTGTGTGTAAAACGAATACGTATTTATTCTTACCAAATCTCCGCTCCGACACGATATATCGCGTTGAACATCACTAATTTTCCAATGTGAGTGTAACGAAAGCTCGCGCGCGCGTGTTGTAATTGTACAATTAAACATTTAATCAAATTGATTCACTGGCCGTAGATAATCGCGATCTAATTTATACCAATAATTAAATATTTGCTATTCTATTAAATCGCATGATGATTATTCGATGATTATTTGAAACAGTTATATCCCGCTCGATCCCGATCTCTGTAAACAGAGAGAACGTTTTCAGCGTGACATGTGTTATGTTATTTTCAATAATATTAACTGCACATCTCCACCATTGTTTTCGTTTATCGCGGAAAGTCGAATTTCAACACGAAACACGCGTCAGTATCCGATGCAGCGCGCGCGCTGGCGATGCCGGGCGTAAAAATTCATTCCGTTCACCGTTGGTATCGAAGTCAAATGCCGGGGAACGATAAGACC